TAATATATAAAAAATTATATATATATATATTTAATATACTTAATAAATGTTTATACTATATCTCTGTTGGAACTGTCGAGCAAAGGAAGCAATCCGAAACCCTTCCGTGTTCGCGACATTCGCGTTGCGACTTGTAGTGATGTCGACTGACGAATTTGTTGTTGTTATATATAATACGATGCTATAACGCAATATCTTATTATATAATGTTGCAATGTAGTATCGTTATGGACTATATTATATTATATGTCATTTGCATGCCAATATTTATAATTGTACCATTTACGATTGTACGAAAAAGCCTACACGCACGCGTGGAACACATTTTGTAAGTATTCACGCTATTATTCGTTATCATTTTTTGGATCAATTAGAGATCAATTGGAGTTATCAATTGGAGATTATTATCCCCTCTGTATTATACAAATGTGAAAGAGACGCGGTATTTTAGTCTCAAAGTCGCATAAAATATCATATATGTGAGGTATGTGGGTTTTATTAAAAAGGAATCTTCAATAAGTTAATTTAAAATATTTTATTACTCTATCTTCTCTGACACAACGATACAAAGAATTATAAATTTTTTTCGTTTTATCAAAATGCTACGCCACGTACCAGCAAGTACGATCCCTGCCTGCACTAAACGTGGTAAGCATGTTATTATGACGTGCTAACTCATCACAATATAATTATCTAATTCAAAAATCAAATATACTTAAAAATAATTTAAATTGTTCAAAATTCACACGCAAAAATTTTATTCAAAGGATATTCTCTTTTATTTAACATATTCTTGCACTATTTTATTAAAGTTCCCGTTTTTCAATTCTGACTTTTAAAGGCTCAACAGTAGATAATAATATATCTGTCCTTAATTTTATCTTATTTATCTCAACACTTTTATCTACTTTAAATGCAAATGTCCGTATCAAAGTAGCTAGGATAACTTTCATAGAAATCATTGCGTATTTTGGACCTGCGAGTTTATTAGTTATAAGTAAATTTTATTGCCATATTTTGTAATTCATTTATGTTTACCTATGCAATTCCTTGGTCCATCGCTAAAAGGGATATAATAATACGAATGACAATCCTTTATTCTTTCTGGTAGAAATCTATCTGGATCAAATTTCAATGGATTCGACCAGTACTTTTCATTTCGATACATCTGCATAAGTGCTATCGCAATATCAGTATTTTTCGGTAAAATATAATCTCCTGAAACACTTTTTGTATTTAGATATTACTACGATAAAAGCATATTAATAATAAAGATTATTAATTTTTAATGTTATTATTTAAGTGAATTTTATTATATAAATATGTAAAATTAGCAAAAGACAAAACTATTTAATGTTCAATATTACGTACAAAACAAAACTAAAATAATTTTTGTATTATATATATTTTATTGAATCTTTATCAAAATAAATATCATCTCTTTTAAAATTTTTAATATTTTAAGATTAAATGTTTTTCCAACTGACACACACACACACACACAGTTATATTTTTTTATAAATCAAAATCCAACAATTTTAAATTGAGTGTCAGAAATAAACAAATAATGAAACATCACTCATTACTGATAACTAAGTTTTCATTATCTCTATTTCTGAAATTTAATTTATTTATTATATGTAATAAGATAAGAAGTATAGAAAATGTAAGAAAAAAATTAAAGGAAAAAATAATAGAAGAACTTATTATTAATACTCGTTTAATAATAAAAAATAATCAAACCTATTTTTATATCTTTACTTAGCCGTCGACTAATTATGGGATAAGCAGGAAAAAGTCTCATTGTTTCTTTAATTACTCGATCTGCATAATGCATATGTTGTAAATCTTCATATTTAACTGGTGCAGACATTGGCGTTTTCGTACCATAAATTTCCAACAATTCCTTATACACTTTATCCTTTTATGGAATAAAATGAAATATTTCTTTAGGTTACAGTTAGTATGATTCAATATAATATAATATCACTAATTATTTATTAATTAAATTTTGAATTTTGAATTGAGATATTTTTCAAAATTAATAAAAGAAATACATACTTGTATTTCTGGAAAATTTGCTAACATGAAGAAAACAAAATTTAACGTAATACTGATTGAATCACTGGCCTAGGAAGAAAACATAGAATTTTATTTTGTCATTTACTTAAAAATATATTTTGTATATTTATGGTATATGTAGGGTTAGTATACCGCTATAATCAGCGTATTAACGTTATCGCGAATTAATTTTTTCGTAACGTTATTTTTACGAAATATTTCCATCAATTTACCTGATCTGTAAATTGTTTTATCTGTATTAAATAAATAAAAAGGTTAAAAACAGGTTAATTATCTTATTAGTCCTACGATAGTAAATTATACATTTTGTATTAAAAATTTTTGTCAACATGTATACATTACATTGGCAATTTCAAAAAAAGCATTTTAATAATAAGGAAGATGTACAGCATTTCAATATGACGGTTTAATTGCATCGTTTAAAAGAACCTATTTTATATAATTATATATAAATATTTCAATATTATTAAACATATAAGCTTCTTATAAAACGCAAATATACTTACTAATTTTATTAGGTTCCGTCTCTGTTGAATGCAATTTGTTCAATTGCTGCAGCTGCTGTTGTGTTACATATATAAAAACATATATACAATGTAAATTCAGCAAAGCATTAAAAACTATTATAAGTACTTATATTAGAAAATATATTTAGTATATACCTTATTAACCAAAGATTGCACTGATTTTATAATCTTTTGTTGTTCGCGTCCTAAAGTAGTGAATTTAAATATAATATCAAAATTCATAAATAGATTTACCAACGACGAATGTATTCTATATCTCAGAATATCTTTAAATCTAAAAACATATTTCTTTTAAAGTTAAATGTTATAAAAAATATATATGTAATATATATGTATCTATATATATATTTTTTATATGTCTTGTATATATATTTACAATTAAGTTTAATTTCAGACAACTGACACATTTCTTAAAAATGTTCTGCTCGTCACGATGTACTTACATTTATAGCAAGAACTTAGAATTAAAAAATTACACTGCTCAAAACAATTATGGCATATGGAAAAATTTTGGGCAAAAATTGTCCAGACTGACGATAACTCCGCAAAAAATCATCGTAGGATGATGAACTTTTTTTTTAATTGAAGCTTGAAATCTCTACTTTAAGATAATATGGATCAATTTAAATTTAATTTATTTGCTCTTCTGCTACTGTAAACTCTTAAATCTGAGAACATGTTTATCATACTGAAAATTGCAAAGTTCGACAGATTGCACGTTTATAAAGCCGATCGTACGTAAGAAAAATACAAGAGTACTTAAAAAAGGTTACTATAAAATGCCGTAATTTTGTGAAAGAAAATCGTATCGTTTTGAATTTTTTTTAGAGATTAAAAAAAAATGTTTGAGCTTTACAACGCTGCAAACGGTATTCCCGAGAAAAATTTTAGCAAATTCGTACGTTCCGTCAAACTTTGCAATTTTCGGTATGGCAAACATGATCTCAGATTTAAGAGTTTACAGTAGCAGGGGTGCATCAAATTTAAAGTCGACTAATATTTTAAAGTAGAGATTTCAAGGTTTAATTTAAAAAAAAGTTCATCATCCTACAATAATTTTTCGCAAAGTTATTGTCAGTCAAAATTTGTTAATTTTTGCCCTAAATTTTTTTTTACCATAATTTTTTTGAGCAGTGTATATACCTTTCAATATTTTCAATAAGTTTATTTCTTATATTTGTTTCTAGTTCAATGCCCATCATAGCACCTTTATGTATAAAGAGAAAACTTGTTAATAATTTTAAGAGAAAGCTTTTTATTAATTTTTTTCTAAGCATTTATTCAGCATATGAAGTATGATATAATCCCAAAAGAAAATTGAATGTTTTGACATCAGGTATGTAAATATAACCATTATTCATGTTAGTTTATTTTATCATTTTTATTGTTTGTTTTATTAAATAATATAAATTTAATTGTTATGTTTACATTTATAAATCTATATTTATAAAGCATTTAAAAAAATTTAATTTTTTCATTTAAATATTTAATAAAATAATAACAAATTTGGCAAGAAGTAGTCGTCAATAACGTAAATTTTATATTATAATTACAAGCAATTAATAAAAGTGATGCGTTTGATTATTTTTGTAGAATTTGCATATAACACTCTTAAAAATTTTATTTTATTTTTAACAATAGATCATAATGCAGAACAACATCCAATGCGATATAGTTATTTCGAAAAACTACATTTCTTTAAATCTAATTGAATACGACATATTACTATAATATTTTGGATTTGATTCATATATATTTATCTGTCTTTGTTAGAGTCTGAAGTATAAATTTAACACGTGTTAAGCTAAAAAAATATGCTTTTAGTTAAAAAATCTTGCGTAAAGTTATAGATCCCGGATGAGAAGGTAATCAAAAATGCAATTAATAATGACCTATGTTTTAAAATACTGATATTTATTAACAAAATTAATAAAATATACTGTTTTATCATTAATGCATTATAAATTAATTATATTCTCAAATTTTTACAATGCCATTTATTCCTTTTAAAATCGTATTCAGATCAAGTAAAGAATCAAGCATGAATGAATAATCTTCTTTGATGATGAATGAGTTTGTATAACACGTATAGAAAATTAAACAAATATAAATTACAAGTACTTACATACGGTGTCCATATTATTCGATGTTAGATGTTTATGCAAAATAATTTCGTTTCCATTTGATCCAACTTTTTCTAATTTATTTGCTAATATAAAAGAATGTTTAACAAATGTATAAAAAAATTTTCGCAATATGTTCAAATTAAAGCTTGGTGCTATTATTTTTCGATGTTCAAGCCATACAGAATCTGAAGCAAGAATTATTTTTCTATTATAAAGAGTTAGTCTTTTAAAAAAAAAATAACTTTACGTAGATATATTAATAGATATATATAAAATATATATTAATAAAGAATTAAAGTTTTTAGCTTCAAGAGAGTTATTGTATTATTGAAAGGCGAATATTAAAATATTATAGAAGCTAAAAGTAAAGTATAATAGAAGTATAGTAGAAGTATAAGTAAAAATAAACGCATCGACAACATAAAGCTAATAAGTAAACAATAACAAAATATTTGTTGCTTTCAATTTCCTATGTAAATTGAGTAATTATTATAAGACAGCATAACTAAATTAAAATGTTTTATTCTTCTTAAAATACTTTACCGGAAACTGTTGTTATTCCCATGCCCAATATTGGTTCTGCAAATTTATATAGTCTGCCTTTGTTTAAGCAATATCGGTGTTGTAAGATAGTCTGCAACGTTATGTATATTATTAACATTTTCATTAATTATTTGCACGCGTTTATTTTAATTGTGTAATTAATATATATTTTTAAAAACAATTCTTTGTTAGGGTAAATTACATAAAAACAAAAAAATAAATAAATATGTACATGTATACCTATATATATATATATATATATATATATATGTATGTATATGTATATATATATATGTATAATTATACAGTAGAACCTCGATAATTCGAATTTCAAGGGACCAGAAAAACTGTTCGAGTTATAGAGTTGTCGACTTATCGAAATTCGAGTAAAAGAGGGTTAACATATGAAAATTCGACTTACGGAGTAAGAGCTTTATACGAGAGTTTATAATTTTTCGATTATAATGGTTTTTAGAAGAAAAAAATCAATATTAACAGTGAATTATTTATTGCATACATATAATAAATGTAACCATAAAACAAAATACTAAGCTATTACTCACGGTTACTCATAGCTACAACTTCGAATTATAGAGGTAGCGACAATAGAGGTTGGACTTATAGAGGTGAACTTCGACTTGTAGAGGTCTGGCTACTTTACTTTAAATTCGAGTTACAAAGGTAAAATATATGTCTAAATGCCTGGCAAATAATTCGAGTTAAGTTTTATTTTGATATATAGAGATTTTCCGCAGCGGAACGGAAAGGAATGAACAAAATTTTTCGTCTTAGAGGTTTTCGAATTGTAGAGGTTCGAGTTATCGAGGTTCGACTGTATATGCATATATAATTATACATACACATATATATTATATAATATATAATATTATAAAATATTATATAATATATAGTATACTTAATTATATAAATGTATATATATATGTATATATGTATATATACAGGATCTCCCAAAATTGGCGCATTAGGAGTACAGGACGTGATACATTTTATGCTAAAAGGAACAACTTTTTCCTTTAGCAAATTTTGACCTGACAAGTAATGTTGGTAGGAGAGTTGGTTAAAGTTAACGAACAAAATCGCTCTTGTCCATGCGGCGGCGCTAAGGCCCGGCGCGCGCTCCTCCATTCACTTGTTCCTAATCCTTGACTAATATTTACAAGTAATGTCTTAAGATACTAATACGGTACAAAAGAAAACGTAAACATTTATTTACCTTTATTTGGTTTGGCTCAGATATAACAACTACGGGCATATAGTACCCTTGTATTTGAAATGGAGATGGATACTGCCTCGTCATCATATTGATCAAATCTAATATTCCTAAAAAATTTTATATATTCTTGAAGTATATTGTTATAGCATTACTAGTACCTGTATATTATCATTTGCAGGATAGGATTAAATACCTTTTAATGAATGCCACTATAATATACTATCTACATGTAATATAAATATTACAATAAATTACGTGACATACATTTGTAAACTAAAATTTATTTTATTAACTCTTTAAATACCGTTATTTTTCAATGTATATAAATATATTGAATATATTTTTAATATATAAATATATATATTTTTTTTTATTTAACAGTCTGACAATTTTCTTAGTATTATTTGTATTTATATCAAATTTTTACAGTTACATAAAATACTTTTATGATTTTTATTGATAGTATTTAATGATGTAATGTCTACATAATGCCTACATATTGAACTGAGGTTTGTGAATTGATACTGAACTTGATTCTGTAATTAATTATTATATTAAACTAACAATATTTTATTATAAACTTCAAAGTTTCAACAATTTTTTGATAATTCAATAATTATATTTTTTTTATAAGTTAAGTATATTATTATTTGTTATTACCATTAGGAGTTTTAGGAAAGAAATTGAAATTTCTTTTTGGACCTGGCAGATTGATTTTTTCCAGAAGATATGTTCGATAGATATAATTCCACAAGAAGTAACTGACAACACATGCCACAGCAATTAATACAGCAC